TCTACTTTTCCTGTTACTCCAGAGAGGCACCTGTATAGTAGTGAGATCACCTGGTGAAATCAGGAGAGAAAATTATGAGCATTTTAGCATACACTAAAAATATTATTATAATATAGATAATATAATGCAATATGAACCATAAATTATATATCATTATATGTTAATACTCTTATTTACTAATAAGTAATAAGCATATTATTTCAAGATCCTGTGGTCATGTGGTCAGAGATACTTCCTTTATCAGATTATGAATATGATCTTGAACTAAATAGGTGGGTACAATGATTCATCTTTACCTGGGAACTTTCCCCACAAGGCAGGGTTCCTAATGTGGGTATGAAGGATGTATTTGCATTACATATTCCTTTGAATAAACATATTCCTGCCCCAGTATTTGAAAGTCATGTTGCAATGTACTGGAAGTACATCCTCTGAAGTTATTGTTTCAACAGGTTTTTGTCTCTGGGAGGTAGAGATATTTTCAGGAAGGGCAAGTTTGGCTTTAACGTAGTGTCTCTGTAGGGGCATTGTGTTGGAGAATATCAGACACAGCATGCTGACCTGAAAAGAGCGTGTTTACATCACCACAGAGACTCTTGGAGGAATTAGAACATTTGGATTTATGGTATCAATATAAATGACCATCTTTCCTAAAATACAGATAATGTCAGAACAACTTGATTTTCCATTTCAGTGAATAAAGCTGTCGCCATGAAAACTGCACAAAATCAGTTGGAGGACCTGCTGTTCTTACAGGAGCACATTCTGGGCTGGATTTCTTTTTCAGGAATTTTGATCTGCAGCTGATATACTGCTTCTTGCAATGCAGATGCACCAGCCATCTTGCCATTTTCAGTTGCAGTCTACTGCCTCCGTAGTCTCTCTGCCAAATTCTGATAACAGTAGTGTTTTAAAATCCTTGCAATTGTTGCCCATGGGGAATACAGTCAAATGTTTCAAGCCATTATTAATCATCTTATGAACTACTGAATAAAATACTTTTCTGTATGTTCATTTTCTGAACCTTTTTGCAAAAGATTGGAAGCCAGGTCTCTTCTGCTGAGGCAGTTTTCAGGTCACAGACTGTTCTGAGGGCACATCATATTCTCAGTTTCCAAGTAAGTTAATTTTCCAACTTAAACTAGTGGGTTTTTTTTCCTATAAATCTTCTTTGTGGTAGGAACACAGTTAAGTATCTTGCACTTAGTAAAATATAGTTCTTTTAAACTATCCTTTACTGGTATCACAGAGGTGATGCCATCAGCCTTAAAAAGTAGGCGGTATCATTCTAGTACCATAGAACCAAACTAGGGAGTCAGTCCATTTTTTGGTTTATGTGACATGAGAAGGTGCAGAAAGGCACAAAATTGTGATTTGTAGACTGGTGAAGTTAGCTACATCCTCTAGGAGAAAACATGACATGATCGTAAAATCTTCTGCAAGCTTGCTGGTGTCCATATAGATCTGAATATATAAATGTGGGTTTCTATATGTGGTGTAAAATTCAGTAATTGAGAGGAAAATAAAATCTGTAGAAATGAGAGGCTGGAAAATGACTCGACTACATTAGTTGTCAGTTTCCTCTGCTCTGCAGAAGCTCTTCTGAAATTCATTTACAGTGAATATTTGCATTCCTCCATTTTCCATTTTTTCTTTTTGCTTTTCAGTATCTGAGGGCTACTGGCAAGCCAACAAAATGGCGCTGATTCAGTGTTCACCTTGTTCACCTTAGGTAAAATAACAGTTTATCAGTATTCAATGTTTTAGCATTAGAGTAGCACAGACCAGCTGAAATTATACGCAACCTATGCAAAGCAGAATCACATGATTATAATTTTTCATTGAGTTATGAAATATCATTAGTAGCCTTCACAGCCTGAACAATTTAAAACCAGTTTCTGTTTCAATTTAAAATGAAACAGTTGTCTGTTGCACAAATATCCTATTGATTTCTAGGCTATGTACAATCCTGGACATTCATTCTATGCTTGGGATCAGGTCTGACTTAAAGAATAGCTGGTGTAAATCATGACCTAAGTTATTCACCAGGATATTGGGCCTGTCTTCACCCAGTTGGTAGAAAGTGCTACCTCCTCCCCCCTTTATCAAAATTCAGTTACGTTTAATCCTGCTGCTGCAAGAATGAAGGATCCTAGCATGCTTTGAGGTATATAAATGGTTGTTTGCAATGTAAGTATTACATAGGACAGCTCCATTAGCAGTCTCTGAAAGAAAGTCCTCCCAAGTAAAGAAGGACATGGAGGATGGACTAATCTCTTAATTTCTGTTGTGAGGGGATTCACATATGACAGTCAGTGTCATGTGGACAGCAAACAGGACTGTTGATGGAGGGTGATGCAGTCATTCTCCCTTTAAGTTGTGTGTGCCATCATCCTTTTATGTAGTGTAAGCTCCTTCCTTTTGTGGTACGGAAGAATACAGTAGGAGACCAAATGTTCTTAAAAACTTCTTTTCTTCCCTTCCTCCCTTTCCCTCCTCCCCTCCTCTTTTCCTCTTCCACCTCTCTCTCTTTGGCTCCCTATTTTCCCAGCAAGATTTCCTAGTCTAGTCATGAGCTTAATCTTATTGAAGCATCAATAAGTAGCATTAGCGGTTGACTGCACAGCTGGTGTGCTGTGACCACAGCTTGTTAGGTCCACCCCGTTTCCCTCGCCACTTTCTTTCCTCTTCAGGCTGTCTGCATGGGCATGCTGGCTCTTATCTTACGGTGCAGTGCAATCATCTTACAGTAGACGGGTGTTCAAGTTATGATGTGCACAGCAGCCAGCAGCAGGGAACCACAGGTGTTGGCTCCACAAGGTAGATTACTATTATAAAAAGTCATAACAACTCCTGTTGAGTTTCCTTCATTGCTGTGCAGCTACTAACAGGAAAACAGGAGCTGCCTCCAGGTTTTAACACACGGTGTCTTTGCATGTTCAGGGGTTTTCATCCCAAATCAGCCTCAGAGTTTGCAGGTCTGAAAATCAATGTCTCATGTAGCTTTTTTCCCCCTAGTTTTCTCCAAACGTTTGAGAGGAAAGGAAGTGTAATTCTTCAAAGAATATAAAGTATAAATCTGTTTCAGTGTTTCTACGACCCCATGTTTCCCATAGCTTCTTCTGTGGGACTGCACAATCTAGCCTGTTAACTGATCGAAGGCAATATCGTTTAGGTAATTGCATTGATTTGTGTTTGCCATTAACATAATTTTTTGCTCATATTCTTGTTTGCTGTCTTTGAACTCTGCTTGGTTCTTCCTTCTTCATTCAAATGCACACAGTTGAAGAGTCAATTTATAGGAGCTTTCAGAATTACCATTTAGTAGAAAATGTGTTGTGGCTTTACAAAAGAGAAATACTCTGTTGATACAGGCTTTAAGTAGACCTGTTATAAGTGTGAAATAAAAACCTATAGTAAGATTTTCTCCTATGATATCGCTATTAAAAAGTTCTTCTTTGTGTAATGCTTCATAGTGAAATTGCTTCTATTTAAAGCATTGAGTTTGATCTTGGCTTTGATCTAAAGCTTTTGATCTTGAAAGAAGGATGTTGTGGCAGTAAAACAAAAAGGGTAGGAGAGAGGTTTTTCTTTTTTTAAGTGATAAAGTTAAAGGGATACTGTCAAGATTTAGTATGGACTAATTGGACCTACCTTTATTTACTTAACTCTGTTTGCAAAGTCCATCTAACACTATATATGGGAGGGTTTGCTCAAACACATGCTTTAATGAGCCTTATTCTTTTACAAGAGCACAGATTTTCTTTTGAAGCTTTCAGGGAATTCAGGGAATTGTCATATATAGCACAGAGTATAAATTATTTTTAAAATAGCATCATTTTAACTCTACCAAGTATGGTCCAGCCTGTCCTTTAATTGTCTCTCATTTTAGATGCCCAACACAAACCACTTAACAAAATTCTAACTTAAGAACTTCTAGTGTTCAGATATTGCATGGCTGACATTGGTTTGAATATCCTCTTCAAAGAGCGCAGAAACATCTGCTGAAGTCTGATGCCTAAATTTAATCACCTGCTTGTAGCCTCTTGTTGAATAAAGCATTTCACTGAGGCCTCTGTAAAGGGCTTGCCGTGCTGTAATACGAATAGAAAGCTGCTTTGGTTTTTGCTTTTAAGATATGTTTCAGACCCTCCGAGGTAATTTAATAGTTAGATTCTTTAGATGTCAAGCAAGTACTGGGCGAAATCTTGAAGCACTTAGCCGTGATGATACTTTCTCTCTCGAGCCAGCCCCATTCCTCTCTGTGAAGACCTGTGACGGAGGGTCTTTAGCGGAAGGTTAATAGGAAGGCGCATTTCATAGTAAGGGGCTTAACGGGAGAGCGTCTCTCTGCGGATCAGACCGTACACCCGTGACGGTCGTGGGCGCAGAGGTGAGGAAGGGCCGCCCCTCCGGCGAAGGGGTCGGAGGGAGCGCGGCTCGGCGGCATCACCGCCGGCGGGTCCCGCT